GTATGTCCACGTTTTGTAAATCTTAGAAAAAAATATTTACCTATATTTTATCTGTCCAATCAGACTTACGAAAAATTTCTTCGTTTAATGCAGTTTGACAACTTATCTGTTCTTCAAATTTCATGTGTATTCTACGCTTCTAAACACAGAGTCAATCTACTTAATCAGTTGTGACTAGTAGATTGAACAATTATTTAAAAGAATCCCTCTGTATTTATTTTTCTATTTTTTTGATTTATTGTACCATAGGCCTGAGGCCATTGTACTGAATAAAATTCATATATATAATTGTCTTGTTCAATGTTCTATCACAATGTATACCATTTTATCTTTATCAAATACTAACCTTAGCAATGTCAGTCATGAACGACAATTTGAATGCGTCGTCTAGGCGTATTTCATCGTTTTGCAGAACATCCTGTGAATTTTTTTTTACATCAACAGTTATTATAACTATATGTTTTTTCTAAATCATATAACCTGTGACAATCAAGTATGCTTTCTAGTAGTGAACTTCCTTCCAATAAGGACACTGCTTATTTTGTCATAAAATTTAACATTATATAAATATATATCTTTGATCCATTGTAATAAAATTATCGATACAAAGTGGATTAAAGGGTATATGCATACATATGTTAAACAGTAACGTATATTATAGTATAGTAATCCATAATTTGACGATATATAATGTTTTTCATCTCACCACAAGACTGCCCCGTGAACAGTACTGCCATCCTAGAAAGATAGTACTGGTTTCTAGGCATGCACCAATAAATTGGTTCAGGTTTTCATGACTAAGTTGCCGTATCTTGGTTGAATATAAAAATAAATAGAATTAAGAAATAGTTACTCAAATTATCAAATCATTGGGTTAAACATCACACATCATTTTTACATAGACAAAGTCTTTTGGGGATTTAAATTGTAATTCTTCTTCTTTTGTATTCTGCTTCATCTGCTTGATTGAAAACGTTCGCTGTTTAAAGGTCACTTGAACAGTTAAGAATGGTCACATATAATGCACAAGCAAATGTTTGAATTACTTTCTTGATTATCTTATCCACTTTAACACACAGAAGTGGTAGGGCAATCCAGAAAAATTGTGTGATATTAGGATATATCGGCTCATCCACATCAAAGATGATATAAAAATGTTATCTCTACTACAAATTCTACTCACATCATTAAATTCAACGAGAATATCGCGGTTGATTTGCATATGCTCTTTGTTGATTTTCTTCAAAGCAACTACCACACCCTTATAAGTAGCTGTCTTGGCAAAGTATTGGAGTGTGCGATTAGATGGTGCTGAACTCTTTCCATCTAAACTATGAGAACAGTTAGAGGAATGCTTTGAAAGCGAATCGCCGCCACTCTTCAAACTAGTCTGCAATGGAATATAAAATAGTTAATTACCTTCACTAGACTTCAGGTGTGTGGAGGTAAGTTGATCATTGTAATTAAATGCGTGTGATTTGTGACGTTGTTATGTTTAGTTGCATGTTATTGTAATATACGTACGTGACTGCCACTGCTCCCACCACCCATACTCCCTGACGCCATTTTCTGTGATCCGCCTCCAGTGAAGTGCAGATCTTCCAAATGCATTTTCCATCTCATGTTCAATAAATCTGCTTCGTATTTACTTCGTCTTTAAAAATAATAGTGTGCACAAAATAACAATGGAAATATTATTAGACTGTTTCTGTTGTAGTTGCCTAAATGACAAGGTTTCTGATTTGAGCTGAACGGACATGCTGAACAATAAATCTCAATTGAATCCAATGACTA